TTCTACTCCCGTAAAGATTTACACCCTCGGAAACCCTGTACAGGGTCGCTATGGGTCGGACCCGACTCGATGGCACTTAACAACAACAACATTCAAGTAGCTATAGATAGATAGCTACCATGGTTACCTTGTGTAGAACAACAAAGCATAACGCAGTCCTGGATCCTCATGATCACTGGCTTGTTCAAGTTCATTGTTGAGTTATTGTTCCAATCCATCTCACCAAGGGCTTCCTGTGCCCTCTCTGGCCCGAAGCTTCACCAAACATGATGCCTTCGTCTAGCAGTTGGTCCTTCCTGAAGACAAGTCCAAAGCAAGTGAGTCCAGACAATGTTCTGTTGTGAGCCATAGGGGTTTTATTAGCTAATTTTCGGAAGTCGATTGCCAAGCCTTTCTTCTGTCTTAGTCTGAAATCTCTACTGAAACCACACTGACCCTGGTGGTATTTGAAATACTACTGACATCATAACATGGTGTGGTGCTGCAGGACTGCAAACCACAAGGTCAGTAGTTCCAACACACCAGTTGCTCCTTGGAAACCCTATAGAGTCGCTATGAGTCAGAACTGACTCAATACCACTTAACAACAACATAATACTATAAACTGACAGATAGCTGATGGGCTGTCCAGGATAGCAATGATAAAAAGAACACCCATCCACAGCCCCCACCCCATGTGTACAAGTCCTTCTGTGTGAAATCTCTTTTAACTAGTAGGTGCACCTTGAGTTGGGATAGGTTTGGAGGGTGGCCTGGGTTGAATTGTCTCCCCAAAATATGTGTCAAGTTGGCTGGGTCATGATTCTCAGTGGTTTGGCAAGTATGTAACAGTGTAATCATGTGATCAGCCAATCAGCTGTAAGGGGATTAAGGTAGGATGTAAACCCCTTACTCAGGTCACAGCCCTGATGAGATGTCAGGGGAGTTTCCCTCAGTGTGGTCTGCATCACTTATTTTTCAAGAGAGCAAAACAGAAAGAAGGAAGGGCTTGATTACCACCAAGAAAGAAGAGCCAGGAGCAAAGCATATAATTTTGACCCAGGGTCCCTGTGCTGAGAACATCTTAGACCCAAGAGAAGACTGATGTCACGACACATGAAGATTGCTGAGGAGCAGAAGCTAAAGAGACAAAGACCATCCCTCAGAGTCAACAAAGAGAGAAAGTCTTCCCTTAGAGGCTGCACCTTAAATTTGGACTTCCTGCCTCCTACATTGTGAAATAATCGATTTCTGTCTGCTGACGCCATCACTTGTAGAGTTTCTATTACAGATGCATAGAGAACTAAGACAAAGGGTTAGCAGGTGGAAAGTGTGAAGACTTCCCTTGGATCATTTAGGAAGTTTAAGGTAGAAGAATTTCCTCTGCTGGATCACTGGACTGCTAGGAGGAGAGAAAAATATGGATATGACAGAAAGAGAACACTGTGAGCCCAGCAGGAAGGGGACAAGTCAAGGCCATTGCTAAAAGCAGAAGGTGCAGCCTGTCAGGGGCAAACAGCTGGCCTTTGGAGTCACATCCTGGAAAGGCTGCACTGTTTGCAGGTAGAATCTTTAGAGTCCTGGAGGAGGTTACCATGGTTCAGGCCCAGAAAAGCTGCCCTATTGGTTGAAGTCAGTGGTTGACGTCAGTGCCAAGCTCAGAGGCAGCACTATTTCCAAATGCCTCTCAGATGCCAGACTGACCACAGTTACTCCCTCATAGAGGAGAGTTAGCACAAACCCAAACCCAGACTTACCTAGACCACAAACAAGCTTCAGCTCTGCAGAAACAACGTCTTGAGTTCAAGTTTTAAGGGCCTCTTCATGTTCTAACACAATAAACTTCCTTAGTAGGCATATCCATCACTTGTCTGTCATTTTGTCGTACTATGGTGGCTTGCATGTTGCTGCGATTCTGGAATCTATGCTACCAGTAATTTAAATACCTGCAGGGTCAACCATGGTGGACAGGTTACAGATGAGCTTTCAGAATAAGATGGACCAGGAAGAAGGAAAGAAGGACTATATCCAAATATTTAGTCACTGAAAACCTTATGAATAGGAGTGGAACACTATCAGATAGCACAAGAACATTGAATATTGAAACATGATGAAGAGCACTAGAATATTGTCAGATACAGTGCCAGAAAATGAGTCCCTCAGGTTGAAAGGCACTCAAAATATGACTGTGGAAGAGCTGCCTCCTCAAAGTAGAGTTCAGTGATGATGCAAATGGAGGAATGCCTTCAGCACCTTCATTTGTGATGGGGCACAACGCAAAATGAGGAGAAGCAGCTGTAAATATCCATTAGTAACTGGAACATGAAATGTGAAAGTATGAGTAAAGGAAAATTGGAAATTTTCAAAAATGAAATAGAAAGCATAAACATTGATATCCTAGAAATGACTGAGTTGAAAGGGACTAATATTGGCCATTTTGAATCTGAATATCTTATGGTTTACTATGCCTGGAATGGCAAATTGAAGAAGAATGGCATTGCATTCACTATCAGAAAGAACATTTCAAGATCTGTCTTGAGGTACAACACTGTCAGTAATAGGATAATATCCATATGCTTTCAAGGAAAACCAGTTAATACCACTATTATTCAAATTTACATACCAAACACTGAAGTCAATGATGATGAAATTGAAGAATTCTACCAGTTTCTTCAGTCTGAAGCTGATTAAACATGCAATCAAGATGTATTGCTAATTGCTGTTGTTGTTGTTAGCTGCCATCAAGTCGGTACCAACCCATAGCAACCTTATGCACAGCAGAACGGAACATTGCTCAATTCTGGGCCAACCTCAT